TCAGTGGATAGAGCATCAGCCTGTGGACTGAAAGGTCCCAGGTTCAATTCCGGTCAAGGGCACGTACCTTGGTTGCAGGTACATCCCCAGTAGGGGGTGTGCAGGAGACAACTGTTCGATGTTTCTCTCATTGATGTTTCTAATCTCTATCCCTCTTCCTTCCTCTTTGTAAAAAATCAATAAAATATATATTTTTTTAAAATTGGGTAGAAGATCTAAATGGACATTTTCCCAAAGAAGACATATAGATGGCAAGAGGTACACAAAAAGGTACTAAACATCACTTGTTAATAGGGAAATGCAAATCAAAACTATAGTGAGATATTGCTGCATACCTGTTAGAATGGCTATTACAAAAAAAAAAAAAAAAAAAGTAGTGGAAGAAAAGGAACCTTTGTGCACTGCTAGTGGGAATATAAATTGGTGCAGCCACTATTGAAACAGTATGAAGGTTCCTCAAAAAGTTAAAAATAGAACTGCCATCTGACTCAGCGTTTTTCCCCTCAGAAGACATAGGGTGGCTGAATGAATATGCTGCCTATAAGAGACTCACTTCAGATCAAAAGACACACACAGACTGAAAGTAAAGGGACAGAAAAAGGCATTTCCTGAAAATGGAAATTTTAAAAATGCTGGGGCAGCAACCCTTATATCAGACAAACAGACTTTAAAACAAAGACTATAACAAGAGAATTGCCCTAGCAATTCCATTTCTGGGTATTTATTCAAAGAAACCCAGAACACTAATTCAAAAAGATATGGATCCATATGTTCATTACAGCATTGTTTATAATAGCCAAGATGTTGAAGTAACCTCGGTGTCCATCAATAGATGAATTGATGAAAACTATATGGTACTTATGTACAATGGGAAAAAACCTCACTATATGGGCAATGTAGAAGGACCTTGAGGGTATTATGTTAAGTGCATTAACTCAGACAGAGAAAGATAAATACCATATGATCTCACTTATATAAAGACTCTAAACAAACACAACAAATCCAAGATCAGGGATATAGAGAACAGATTGGTGGCTGTCAGATTTGGGGGGAGGAATGGGTAAAATGGGTGAAGGGGGGTCAAAAGGAACAAATTCTCAGTTAAAACAAATAACCATGGGTATAATACACAGATGATGACTAAAGTGAATAATACTATATTGTAGCCTGGCCAGTGTGGTTCAACAGTGTGGCCCAGGAACCATGACATGATCAGTTCGATTTCCAATCAGGGCACATGCTGGGTTGCGGACTCTATCCCCAGTGGGGAGTGTACAGAAGGTAGCAGATTGATGTTTGTTTGTTTTTCTCTCTACATCTCCCTTCTTTATTTTATTTATTTTTTTAAAATATACTTTTGTTGATTCCAGAGAGGAAGGGAGAGGGAGAGAGAGATAGAAACATTAGTGATGAGAGAGAATCACTGATTGGCTGCTTCCTGCACGCCTCACACTTGTACCACACTTGTAATTGAGCCTGCAACCCAGGCATGTGCCCTGACTGGGAATCAAACCATGATCTCTTGGTTCTTGGGTCTACATTCACCACTAAGCCATGCTGGCTGGGCTCTTCCATACTCTTTAAAATCAATAGAAACGTATTTTTTTTTTTTTTTTTAAAGAAAGCTCTCCTGATTAAAAAAAAAAAAAAAAAAAAAAAAAAAGCCACTAAGAGAGATCTTAGAAGTTCTTATCACAACAAAAGCAATATGTATGGTGATGAATGTTAATTAAATTGTGGTGATCATTTCACAATATATAAAAATATTGAATTATTATGTTGTACACCTGAAACTAATATAATGTTATATGTCAGTTACAACTGTTTTTTAAAAAAGAAAGAGATAGAGACACACTTGCAAATGGGAACTTATGTTACCTTTACAAAGGGAAATTTATGCCAGGTTTATAGGCAAAAAGTGGGAGGACAGAGTGTTTCTTCTTTGTCTGTTGTTTCTTAATTGCCATCAGCTCAAAATACGTAATTCTTATGCCAAAATAACATATTTGGGGGTAGCATTATTCTGACCTCCTTCATCTGAGTTCTGTGAGCCATTCTGGTAGATTATCAAACCCGAGTGTAGCACTGTGGGAACTCCCAAAGTATGGCTCAGCCAAAGTATGGGGGCCTGGGCATGCCATTTGCAGCTAGCATTTGAAGTCCGGGGATACTTGTAGCCCCTTAATTCCAGGTAGTTAGTCAGATTTGAATTATTGGACACTAAGTTGTTGTTGACAAACTGGTCAGAAAGAACCTGAGAACTTATTAAGTTCAACCTGCTCCAAACTGAATTCATGATCTCCCACTGCCCTCCGTTCCTCTTCCAGCGGTCCTTGCCGCAGTGACCTCTACCGTCTCCATCACACAGCTCATGTCCAAATCCTGAAAGGCACCTGTCTCCCCCTCGCCTATCCCTATTTTGATCCAAGAGCATGTAACGTTTTTCACTCCTAAATAGCTCTCAAACCTTCCCACCCCACCATCACTATCTCTCTGGACCAAGGCTTGATCATCCTTCACTGCAACAGTCTCCTGACAGCTTCTCCCACATTGTTTCTATCTCCCGCAATCTGCTCTTCATCCTCTTCCTAATGACCTTTCAAACCTCAAATCTGGTTAATCACACCAGTGATGCAATATCTTCTGATGGCTTCTCATTGTTCAAAGCCCTTATATAAAGACTCTAAACAAACACAACAAATCGAAGCTCAGGGATATAGAGAAAAGCAAAAACAACAAAAACCAAAAACAACAAAAAAACACCTCATACCCTCCACTCGCAGCTCTGCCAGCTTCACACAGGCCTTCTCCATCCCCACTCTTCCACCATGCCTCCCACACAGGCCTGCATGCGGGCTGAAATGTGCTTGCTTGCAGTCCTAAGCTGTTCACGCCCACTCACCTCCTTCACAGAGGCTTCCCTGGCCTTCCCCACCAGGTCAGGTCCTGCCTTCTAGCATCTCCCCGAGTGGCTGAGTCCCTATTTGCTTGTGTAACTTTCTGTTTAATGGTGGTCTCCTCCAGCACTGTATATTGAGAGATCCATGAAGGTAAGTACTTCTAATATTTTCATCAAAGAGAAGAAAGTAGGACAGGGCTAGGGGACCGGGACCCTGCATGACCCTTAAAATCCACTCCCTACATGCCACACGGCCCTTTTGTCCCTGCCCCAAAATGAGCAGGTACCCTGATAAGAGCTGCAGCCCAGAAGGTCAGCACAACCTCAAAATCTCTTGGAGGTCCCATTTTACCTTTAAAATAGCTTACAAATTCTGTGTTTAACTCCATAACATATCAATGTTTACTTAAATGTAAAAACAATGTTTTCTTTTTAAAATCTTGGAGTTGTCCCAGAAGACAGACCATGTGTTTCTGGTACTTTCTGTAAGCCCCCAGATGAGATGCAATCACGGCTTTCCGCTGGGCAGGGGAGGGTCTGCAGGACGCCAGCAAGTGAGCAGTAGAGACCCCTCCTCATGAGCACCACCTCAGCCCTGGCTTAGTAGCCATGGGAGGCATCTTCCCTCTAAATTACCTGGGTTCAGACCCACCACTAGCTGACTCTAAGACCTGGGCCCTCACTGCGCCCCTGCCTGCGGACAATGGAAAAGTCTTTCTATACCTTTAGGTCCCACGTGCGGAGCAGCGGTAATATGACTCCACTTCACAGGTTGTCATGGGAATAAGAGCGGAGTCCTCAGCAGCTGACCCTCTGGTGCTCAATCAATATTTGCTACTTACATGATCCTCACCTTCACCCTCACCATCTCTTTTACCCGCCCCACACCCAAATGCCCCAAATCCCTAAAGCCCTGGACGTTTTAAATTCTGCCAGAACGTAAGGTATTGTAGTTATTATGCCCGCACTAAATGACCTGGGTAGGACGGCTTTACCTTTGCTTTTGTGAGAAATAGTGGATCTATGTTTCTAGAATCTCCAACGTTTTAAAAAGTAACTGCACTCGGCTCACCCGGGAGTTACTAGTTCCCAAGTGCTGTCTCCAGAGCCCGCGGCCTCGGCCTGCCCTGGTTAAATGCTGGGCAACACACGTCAGATCCCCCATCACCACCATCAACAATCAGAACTCTGCGTGGGCCCGGGCGCTCCCTGTGAGGCTGGTGCCGGCTACAATTTGAGAACCACAGACTTAGATCAAAATGAAGTTAGCCTTCAAAGCAAAAACAACAAAAAACACTTTCAAGTCACCATTTCCCAGGTCCTACATTTCTTCGGGAGAGAGCGCGGAGGTGGGTCCCACTGCTGCGGAGCGGGCGAGGACCGGGCGCGGGGACTGTGGCCGCGGGTCTGGCCGCGGCGGGGGCGGTGCGCGCTGGGCGGGAGGCGGTGGCGGGCGGGACCAGGGGAGGGGAGAGGAGGGAAAGGGAGGGCAGGGGAGGGGCGGGACGTGCTCCCGGGCCCCGCGCGAATGGCCTCCGGCGGCTCTCGGCTCGCTGCCCGGTGGCCCCTCCGCCGTCCCCGCCCCAGGCTCTGCCGGGCCCTCGGTGCGCTGCGTTCGGAAGCGCGGAGAGGCGAGCACGTTCAGGCTTCCGACTGGGATTGGAGCCGGGGCGCCCCGAGCTTTGGGAAGGAAGGAAGAGGACGAGGGAGGCGCCCCGCGCTCTGGCCCGCGGCCGGCCACCTCCCAGGCTCCTCGCGGGAGAGTGGCCCCCACTGCGCCCCTGCTCGCGGGCTCCCGGGGCCCCTGAGGGCCAGCCGGCGAGAGCGCGGCCGATCTGCGGCCCTCGGGGGGCGCCCTGGTCCGGACCCGCGGGCCAGAGGAGGCTGCTCACTCTAGTGTCCACGGGAGCTGAGCGCGAGTTCACCCAGGAGCTCCGGGGGCAGGGCCGCTGCGGGTGGCACCGCTGGGGTGGGAGGGGGTGAAGCGGGCCCCCGACTTCAGAGGGCCGCCTCCCACTGGCCGCCGGTGTATTCGGAAACCCCGCCCGCGAGCCCCGGCCCGCGCCCCGGCCTCCAGGTGTCCCTCCCCGGCCCCGGCAGGTTCAATCCCAGGGCGGCCGGCCGATCCCCCTCCCACCCACTCCGCCCAGGCGGCCGCAGCTAAAACCCGAGGCTCCCACGTGTAACCGCGTCTTCCCTGAGCCCGGGCGGGCGCACGCTGTCAACCACCCAAGCTGTTAAGTCTCCAGAAGAGTCTCCTGCCGGAGGTTCGCACCCCAGACAGATCCCGAGGGCCGGCTGCTTCATGGAGCCGCAGGGGGCGCAGCTGTTAACTCTGGAGGCACAGGGGCCCGCGCCCTGTGGGGAACCCCCACCAGCCCCAGAGCTGCCCGCCGCCGGGGTCCTCTGCCCGGAGGGTGGCGGGGACGGCGGCAGCGCAGCGGAGTCGGGGAGCCCCGACGCCGAGCCCTCGTCCCCCGAGGAGGAGGCTGCCCTCCGGGAGCAGGAGGAGCTGCTGGCGTGCCGCCGCCGCCGCCGCGCGCGCTCCTTCTCGCTGCCCGCCGACCCGATTCTGCAGGCGGCCAGGCTCCTGCAGCAGCGCCGGCAGCTCGGCCTGGGGCTGGGCGCGGAGGGCGGCGAGGGGCCCGAGGACGCGCAGCACAGCCCGGGCGGCTGCTGCGCCAAGTGCAAGAAGCGGGTGCAGTTCGCGGACGCGCTGGGGCTGAGCCTGGCCAGCGTCAAGCACTTCAGCGAGGCCGAGGAGCCGCGGGTGCCACCGGCCGTGATCTCCCGCCTGCACAGCTTCCCCATGAGCGCCGAGGACCTGCAGCAGCTGCCGGGCCTGCTGGCGGCGGCCGGCGCGCCGCTGGGGGCGCCGCCTCCCCGGCTCCGTCCGCTCTTCGAGCTTCCCGGGCCGGGCGCCGCGGCCGAGCGCCTACGGCGGCAGCGCGTGTGCCTGGAGCGCGTGCACTGCCCGGCGCCCGGGGCCGCGGAGGTGATGGGCTCCGGGCGGGTGCTGGGCTGCCCCGGACCGCGGGCCGTGGCCGTGCGCTACACGTTCACCGAATGGCGCTCCTTCCTGGACGCGCCCGCGGAGCTGCAGCCCGAGCCCGCGGAGCTACAGCGGCAGGAGACGCCGTCGGGGGAGCCTGGGCCCGGGGGCGCCGAGGAGGAGCCGGGCGCCGAGCGCTTCCACTTCTCGCTGTGCCTGCCCCCGGGTCTGCAGCCCAGGGACGGGGAGGACTCCAACGCGCCGGACGTTGCCGTCCACTTCGCGGTCTGCTACCGCTGCGCCCAGGGCGAGTTCTGGGACAACAACGCGGGCGCCAACTACACGCTGCGCTACGCGCCCCCGCACTCCCCCTGAGCGGCCCGGCCGCGGCGCCGCAGCACCGGAGGGGCCGTGGGACCGAGCCGCGCTGGGGGACTTGACCGGACTCTTGGCTGAACGTCGTCCCCCTGGAGTGTGGCGGTGCGGAGGGAAAGGAGGGAGCCGCTCAGTGGTGAAGTCGCCCCCAGACAGATCCTGTGGCCCAGCACGGTGAGCCGCGCTGCCGGCCGGTTTTCCCATCGCGCAGGCCTTCCTAGCAGACCTCTCGAATTCTATCTATCGATACACCAGCGTCAGAATGGAAAGTGACCACTAGTTTTCGCCAAGAAAAAGGCTCCTGACCACGGAGCAAGGCTGTAAGACCTTTGGATGTGTTTTTAACTGTAGACGTCGCGTTTTAGCCTTTGCAGCTTGTTGGAGACCCCTCGATCTCAGGAAAGGACGAAGCACCCCGCCACAGAGCCCCTAAGGAAGGCACTGGGACTGTGGGTGCACGGTGGGGCCGGGGAGGGGGGTTGAGGCGTTTCTCAGAGAAAACCGGGTGGGGCCTTGGCTGTCTTTTTAACTCGGGAGAAGGTGGTCCAAATAACTTGCCGTTATTTACTTGTGCCTTAGTAGAAATGTCCTTTTAAAAAGTAAAGGCCACTTGCACACCCTTTTATGTTGCACTTTATATCTCAGCTCCTGGGGATTTGAGAGGTCTTGACAGGCAGGCTAGCTTTTTCAGCTAATGATGCATGCAACTTAACAGTAGTTAAACAACGGTAATTCTAAATTTCCTTTCTTCCATCCCCACTGACTGCTGTAAAAGCCAAAATTTCCCATACTGGGCCAAAAAGAAAATGTTCTTCCAAATGTTTTGTGGCAGGAATTTGATCACAGAAAAATATAAGCATGGTCTAATAAGCTTGGTTTAAGTTCTAAAGAGCTGCCAATTATGTGACGATTTCCCGATCTTCTTTCCTGCAGTTTCTTGTGATTAAAATAACCCTTATCAATGGGTGTTTCAAACATTGAAACTTTTTTCTGTCCCCTGCCAAAATAATAAGTTGGTGAATTGAAACATCAGAGTAGTCATCTAGCTGGCCCCTTGTTCCCAACCTCTTTTGTGGAGGCAGAGCACATACCCGCTGCTAGCATCCTCTTGGCAGGACTGTGGGCACAGGGCCTGGCCACTGATGGCTGTAGATGCCAAGATGAGGTGGCCGTGCATGAGCAGGGTGGGGCCGAGGGGGCATCCTGAATGAGGACTTGGTTCCTTCACATCTTGGTCACCCTTCAGTAATTTGTCTTTCCCCAGTTTTCATGTATTCCTGCACAGGACTAGTATAATGAATCCGTTTTGTAATGGTCATCTTCCAGGAGTGAAGGGTGGTTTAATTACTGAATAAGGGTAGGCATATTCATCCCGTGGCCAAATTCAGCCTGGTGCCTGTTCTTGTAGGGCCTGAGAGCTAAGAATGATTTATATATTTTTAAACAGTTGAAAAATTCAAAAGAGTACTATTTTGTGAGACATGAGAATTATGAGATTCAGATTTCAGGGTCCATAAACAAGATTTTATTGGAACATAGCCATGAACATTCATTTACATGCATCTATGATTGCTTTTCTGCTACAAGAGCAGGGTTGAGGAGATGCAACAGAAACCATATGGCAAATTCTAAAATATTTACTATCTCTAGACCTTTATAGAAAGTTTGCCAAGCCCTGCTCTACAGAAGCAGTATTTTAAAATGTATGTTTTTTGAATATGTGTGTTTAATTGGTTTTTAGAGAGAGAGGAAAGGAAAGGGATAGAGAGATAGCAACATCAACGATCCATAGGCTGCATCCCACACATCTGCTACTGGGGATCAAGCCCATAGCCCCTGTTATGTATCCTGATCAGGAATGGAGCTGTGAGCTCCTGGTTCATACGTCAGCGCTCAACCACTGAGCCACACCAACTGCGCCAGAAGCAGTATTTTTTAAATGTTATATGTTAATAGTTATGCCTAATAAAGAAGTTAAACTTTTATTAAAATTTTGCCACATGAAATATACCTCTTTTGGGTAAAGGTTGAACTGTTTACTCTTGGTTAAAATAAACACTGAAATACCAATGTACAATTATTACTGTACTGGGGAGGGGAATCAACCTGTTGCCTTCTTTCATCTGTTAAGCTAATAATAAAAAGGTGCTTTTTGACATGAGTGGCCGTAAGCATTTATTTGAGATCAAAGAATAGCCATTTGGGATGCCCTGATTCTGGCAAAAGTCCAAATACTGTTCCAGTTAGGAGACAAAGGCAAGGATATTTATGAAAAGGAGAAGGAGAACAACTACATCAATAGGAGGAAGCATTTCTATTGGTACAGATTACATAACATAGGGACACTGATTTTGAACAATGTTTTTAATTTTCAGTCTAGTAGTCATAATTACTTTTTTATTTGTAAACAGTTTTTTGGAGACAGTGTTGCTTTAGGCCCAGTACAAAGGTTATTTGCCCTGTTTTAATATTTCAGAGGTTTGAGGTATCGGATCTAGTAATAATTAATGTCGTTTTTAAACATTCGTTTAAAATCTTGCTTGGCGTTGACTTGTATTGACATAACCTTCAAACACGTGGTATCTACAGAACGTGTGAAGTGCAATTAACAAGTTTTGCTTGAAAAAGTTTGTGTTTGGTTTGGTTTTTGTTGCAAAACTGGGGCTAAGAAGATGGCGGATGAAGAGCATATTCGGCACTGAATGCTTTACGAGTTCCAATTACGAAGAAAAGCAAGTGAGGCTGCAAAAAACATCTGTAGTGTTCTTGGTCAAGATGCAGTTAGCGCCAGAAAATGCCAGCCAGAAAATGCCAGCGTTGGTTTGAGAAATTTCGCAAGGGAAATTTTTCGTTAGATGACAAGAGTGGTCGAGGCCATGTGTCCAATTTTGATCAAGAAGCTCTTCAAGCTCTTTTGGTGCAAAATCCTCAAATTACCCAACAAGAGCTTGCGACAACTTTAAATTGTTCACAAAAAAACAATTTCTAATCAATTGCGTGCACTTGGCAAAGTCCAAAAGTTTGGAAAATGGGTTCCTCATGAGTTGACCGAAAACAACCGTAATCAAAGAGTCACAATTTGTAGTTCGCTCCTCTCTCGTCAAAACCGTTTGCCGTTTTTAGAGCAAATTGTTACCGGAGATGAACAATGGGTGCTGTATGTTAATTTGAAAAGGCTGCCTCAATGGTTGGACAAAATGAGGCTCCGCAGCCCACACCAAAACCTGACTTGCATGCGAAAAAAGTGATGTTGTGTGTTTGGTGGAATTTTAAAGGAATTCTTCATTATGAACTTTTACCATCTAACCAAACCATTACAAGTGCAGTGTATAGTGCCCAATTGGAAAGGTTATCCCAAGCTTTAAGAGAAAAAGAACCTGCGCTGATTAATCGGAAGGGCATAATTCTTCACCATGATAACGCACGACCGCATACTGCAAGAATCACTGCTGAAAAACTGCGCCAGTTGGAATGGGAAGTTCTCCCTCAACCTGCATATTCTCCTGATATTGCCCCTTCCGATTACCATTTGTTTCATTTTTTGCAAAACTTTCTTCTTGGAAAAAAATTTAATAATGAAGAATGCCTCAAAAAATGCATTGACCAAATTTTTTGCATCATAATCACAAGAATTTTACAACAGAGGGATTAAAATGCTTCCTGAGTGTTGGGCACAAGTAGTAGAAAACAACGGCAACTATATTGTTCTATTAATTTTGTTGTATTGTTTAAATAAATTCGATTTAAAAAAGTATTAGAAAACGACATTAATTATTACTAGACCTAATATTAATCATGCAAGCAGTTTCTCTGGCATGACAGTTTTGGCTCCATTTTAAAGTGGCTCCATTTATTATTTTTGACACATCTAAGAAATAAATCAATGCACCTGAAATGTAGCACCCATGTGAATTAACATCAAGCTACAAAAACTGCCACATATTTTTGTGCCTCAAAATGGATGTCTTGAGCTCTAGAAATATTTAGTTTAAACTCTGGTTTTAAGACATCCCTTTTGACTGTAGCAGTGTTTGTCAGAGTAATTGATTATAAAAAAATTTTATTTCATTTATTTTTTAAACTTTTATACCATCTTTTTCTTTTCTTTTCTTTTTTAATAAACCTTTATTGTTCATATTATTACAAAAGTTCCTCAATTTTTTTCCCCTCCACCAGGTTCCCACCCCACCCTCTGCCCTTTCCACACCCCCCATTGTCCTCATCCATAGGTGCACAGTTTGTGTTCAGTCTCTTCCCACACCCCCAACTCCTCTTTTCCCTGAGAATCATCAATCCACTTCCCTTCCATACCTCTGATTCTATTATATTCAACAGTTAATATTGTTCATCAGGTTTTTTAATCCCTTGGTTTTTAGATTCACTTGTTGATAGTCATGTATTTGTTGTTCATAATTTTTATCTTTATTTTCCTTCTCTTCTGAAAGAACCCCCTTCAGCAATTCACATAATTCTGATTTGGCGGTGATGAACTCCTTTAACTTTTTTTTTTATTAGTGAAGCTCTTTATCTGTCCTTTGATTCTGAGTGATAGCTTTGCTGGGTAGATTATTTTTGGCTGTAGGTTCTTGCTATTCATCACTTGAATATTTCTTGCCATTCCCATCTGGCCTGCATGGTTTCTGTTGAGAAATCAGCTGACAATCGTATATGTGCTCCTTTAGTTTCTCTCTTGCTGCTTTTATTTTTTATTTTTTTATTTTTTTATTTTTTTAAAAATATGTATTTTATTGATTTTATACAGAGAGGAAGGGAGATAGAGAGTTAGAAACATCGATGAGAAAGAGTTATCGATCAGCTGCCTCTTGCACACCCCCTACTGGGGATATGCCCCCGCAACCAAGGTACATGCCCTTGACCAGAATCGAACCTGGGACCCTTCAGTCCCCAAGCCGATGTTCTATCCATTGTGCCAAACCGGTCCCGGCTCTCTTGCTGCTTTTAATATTCTCTCTTTGTCTTTTGCTCTTGGAGTTTTAATTATGATGTGTCTTGGTGTGATCCTTTTTGGGTTCCTTTTGTTTGGGGTTCTGTGTGCTTCCTGGACTTGTAGATCTAATTCTTTCACCAGGTGGGTGAAGTTTTCTGTCACTAGTTCTTTCAGTATGTTTTCGGTATCTTGCTCTCTCTCTTCTTCTGGGACCCCCATAATTCTGATGTTGGTTCACTTGAAGTTGTCCCAGAGGTTTCTTACATTATCTTCAACTTTCTGGATTCTCTTGTCTTCTTGCTTCTGCGGAGGAGTGTCTTCTGGCTCTTTATGTTCCAAATCTTTGACTTGATTCTTGTGATCTTCCATTCTGTTTTTAGGACTCTGTATAATATTTTTTTATTTCAGACAATGTATTCTTTATTTCTTGTTGATCCCTTATTATTTCTTGTTAATCCCTTATTATTTCTAGTTGATCCCTTTTCATATCCTCATAGGTCTTATCGACCTTTTCTAGGAAATTCTTGAAAAACCTTATAAGTGTGGTTTTGAACTCCATATACAGTCGCTTTTTGTCCTCCATTTCTTTCGTTTGTGATCTGTTTCCTTGTCTTGGCATTTTCTCAGCTTCCATGAGTTGGTAGCCTTAAAAGTCTCTGTGTTCAGCTTGGATGGGGCAGAGTTTCAGGATGGAGCCTATAGCCTTGGCTTCCGTCAGCCGTGCCCTATGAGGCTCCTGAGTCTCAGTATTCCTCAGGGTCCTTCAGTACTCGTTGCAAGCACCTCTGAGAGAAAGGTGCCCTCGAGTTTTGCCTGCTACCCAACAGTCTAGGCTCTCCCTCAATGAGCCCGGAACTGGGGTTCAGTTCAGTTGGAAGTGGGGTTCAGAGCAGTCTGGAACTTTTGTCTCCTTCCCAGTAGGGCAATTCAGTGGCACAGTCAACCGTCAGTTCTCTGCACGCAATGAGCGCGCCTCTGGGACTTCCTTTCTCCGCTCCCCTGGGTTTCCGCCTTACATCCCAGGCTCCCTTTGTATGAGCCTGGGTCCCCAGGGTCTGGCCTAGAACTGGGGTTCAGTGCTGTCAGATCTGGGGTTCAGCACAGACCAGAGCTTTTATCTCCTTCCCGCGAGGGAATGCCAGCCAGGCACTCAGCTCCGGCTCCATCCTCTCCGTGCGCGCACCATGTCTCCATACTTTTACAGCTCCTCTGATTTTCCTTCTGGTTTTCTCTTTCCTTCTCGTTGTAGAATTTCCAGTCAGTCGACTTTTCTGTAGTTCTGGGTAATGTCCATTTTGTATTTTAGTTGTATTTTATTGAAATTGTTGTGTGAGGCTGCAGTTAGGTATTACCTATGCCGCCATCTTGGAGTCTCTCGATCATAGAAAAATTTTAAAATAGTAACTTACCTTTGAAAAGCCACCAGAAATTAATCAACTAAAATTTATAATCAGAGTAAATCATTAAAAATGGTCACATAGGTGAAATGATGAATTCTTAATTCACACATACTTATAAAAGTTTTATAACAATTAAAATAAGTAATTATTAGAATTACCTTATTTTTTGTTATTAACTGCAAAAGTAGTC